AACCGGGTCAACTTCGACCGGCATAGCACTCGCAACCTTCTTGAACGTGCCGTTCGGGTACCATGCTCTAACGATTGCCTCGCACATCGCGCTCGGATAGAGAGCAGTCGTCGGGGTAACCGACCCCTCAATGCGTGCATGAAGGTGTCCCTTCTCGTGCTTGCATTTCCGACCTGACAGTTCATCAACGAGCTCCTTGGAGGTCGTCTTCCTGATCGGCACACCGTCCTTGTCCTGCATCCCGAAATCACAGCCGTCGAAGTCTACGGTCTCGACATCAGGATCAGCAAGAAACCTCTGCATGAACGGTTGCTTCCATCCAAGACAGTGTCTAGGCCATTCAAATGCAACCTTGCCCCCTCCTCGCCTAACGGCTCTGGAGACTCGCAGGAACGCTGCAAACATCACCTGAGAGTTTCTTCTCAGATCATTCAGGTGAGATGCAAATTCAGCGCCGTGGATTGAAAGGTTGACGTACTGCCATGTACTCCACGGTCCACACGGAATTGACGCCCAGAGGTCACACCCAGGATTATCCTCGATGATCGCAATGAGCCGACTAACGTCCTTGGCCTTAGTGATATCAAATGAGCCAATGTGAACGCGAATCGCCTCGCCTCCACACTCCATCATCACTGCGGACAGACGTGAGTCAGGTTCACACGCAAACTCGATGAGGAGCCTGCGGCCGGGCGCTGGAGCAGCCGGGTCCCTCTCGGGATGTTCGCGGCGTCGTTCTTCCCTTAGGGATAACTCCCGTTCGGTTTGAACATAGATCTCCCGTGACCGGGTAGACATCTGTCTCCAACTATCCGCATCAATTGAGTTGGGTTTTCCGGTGCCCGCGTATGGCCGCTCACGCCTATCGGCAGATTGGCCATAATCGATCCTGTCTCCGTGAAGCTTATGACCCTTCTTTGGATCTCCGGCAGGTTTGGCTCCTTCTTCCTTTGGCTTGAACCTACCGTGGGGAGCGCATCCCTTATCAAAAAGGATGGTCACGCCAGTCCAAAACCCCCGCGTGAAATGCCGATGGTTAGGAGCATCGTGATGACGATCATCTCTTACCCAATTTCCAACGGCATCAACCCCCCGCATATGCGTGACCCTAACGGTGTCAAGCTCCTCATGCGAAGGGCCACCTACAAAGGTCCTCGTTTGTCGTCCCGAAGAACTTCTTCCGCACCTCGACGTGGATGCGATACCAGGCGCTGTCCTCGTCGTGGCGCTCCCAGTAATCTGAGACGCATGCGTCACCACCTCCTTGGACAGCCTTGCTCTGAATGACCCCATCAGACTTGGAAGAGCTATCGCCCCCCTCGTCCTGTTGGTCATCATCATCATCATCAGGATCATCAAATCGACCTTCATCAAAGTCGAATTCATCCCTGATCCTCTTGCTCGGCTTAAGGTCGGCCCTTCGGTCAGCTAACGCCTCCCGAATGGTCCGAGTCCTAGCATCATAGGATGCCAACATCGGGAACACGTAGGGCTCCTCAGGGTTCTTCCAGTACGCTTGACCTGGTGTATACTTGGTTTCCTGAGGCCTCTTTGGATGTGCTCGAGGTCAGCGACGAGATAGTCGCCCTTCCATAGCCCCCCTGGTTCTAACCGGTAGCCCAGAAATAGGCCTGGCTTGGATGATGGGGCGAACTTTGGATCTTCCTCAATTTTGATGAAGTCCCGCTCTTTCTTCTCGGCGGGCAGGGCAGTAGTGACACTCGTCTCTTCAACCTCTACCTCATCAGTGGGGACAAAGTCCGGTTCGTCATTGCACTCGGGTTCGTATTCCTCGTTCTCGTAGATCTCGGCTTCATCCTCATCGATCTGATCAAAGTCACAGTCGAAATGAGTTTCTCCAGTCCACTCGTGGTTACCTCCACGGTCGTTTTCGGCCTGAAGCCAGTTCTCGTCAACAACGAACTCCGTTGATCCGTCAAGGTAGTTGAGAACTGTGCTTCGCCTTCTGCCAAGGTCTTTAATCTTGACTGGACAGTTTGCCCCTATCGGGACAAACAGCTCGGTTCGCGCTTCAACGTGGACGCGAGTGAGAACCTTCTCGTCTTCATTCGCGATCCAGTGGTCTCCTCCTTCATCGATGTCCTCTGAGCCAATCTTCCCGGCGTGTCTGAAGTCGTTTTGGGCGTTTTGAACCCCCCCCTTTCTATCCCTGCGAATTTTGGGAGCAATGGGGTAGAAGTCGACCAGACAGCCAAACGGCAGAATGACTCCGCTGAAGTTCCCGTCACCGTGGCGTCGCATCCAGGGTGATCCGTCGCCTCGATTCTCAATGAATGTTTCTTGCCATGGAGAAATGCCTAACGGCAAATGGCCACCATCGAGGTTCAAATCCAGCTTGACGCAGGAGCACACGTGCCCCATGGAGAACAAGCTTGACCTTGTTCTCGATCAGGCCGTTGGTCTTGGGCATGCCCGGCGTAGAAAGCCGGTGCAATGCTCCAAGCGTAGTGACAGCATTCTTCAGCTCTGGGGCCTGGTCGCTGTACACTAACTTCAGAGTTTGCCCCCCTGCAAACCTGCGAAATGCCTCCAGCGTATTGCTGCGGGATCTGGATTGCACAGGAAGAACCTCGAGGTAGTCAGTAGCGAGGTCATAGAACACTATCGCATCTGCCTCGCCATGAAAACCTCGATCCTTCAGTCCTCTCAGCACCATGGTGTCAGCAGTGGTTAGGTCTCCGAAGCTCGCCACATCATGCGCAGCAGCACCACCCTTGCGGCGAAGCTTGACATTCTCCATCTTCGCACGCTGACAGTGTGGGCAATAGGGATTCTTCGGGAGATGCGTGAGCATATGGCGGAGCGTTTTAGCATCTGCGCGCCATTCGGCTTCAGTGCGTAGCCCGGAGAGAAAATTTATCTCAACAACGTCGCCATCGTCTCCTTCCCCTGGGCCGGGAACAGGCAGTGATCGGCTATCGCCCTCACCCCCCTGTTCGGCTTTGCCGGGAAGAGCAACGGTCTCCCATTTGACCTGAAACCACGTTTCACCTGTCCAAGGAACATCAGACGCTATCGCATGCTGATCCCTTTCGGACAACTCCCACAGACTATCAACCAGCACCTCATGGGTAACCCCATTCCGGTGAATGATCGTCTGCCTATAGCTGTCCAGTTGATTGATCCCGACGGGGCAATCTCCGTCAGTCGGCACAAACTTCGCCCTGCGCGGGAGTCGGCGCTCTTTCACCACATGGCCTGATCGCTCAGTCCTCCAGGTGTCCTGAGATTCACTCTTGACCGTTAATGCAGGCTTGCATAGCGGAACCTCGTCAGCTTCAAGCCCTCGATATGCCACGCCAGGGGCTGGCATAGCTGGAAGTGGTTCAGCATCATCAAGAGTGGGAGAAACAAACTGAGTGTCGCCATGAGGAAGATACGGCACGTTGTTGATGACATCCAATGTCACTGTGCGACCCGAAGGACACGAGTAGGCTTACAACTTGCAGTCCATACAAACGAGTATCCCATGTCCATACAGCGCTTTCCAACGGAGATGATGGATGGAGTGGACTCAAGGACGTGTGCCTCAATCACCTCGTCCAGGTTGCCGACGTCAGCATCAACACGACCAGCGGTGCGAGTCGTGTCCGCCTTTGGCGATCAGGGCCCTATCGGGTCCTTTCAGATCACCAAGACCGACCAGATCCAGTGGACAACCAGTATCTACCAGCCATCTCACCCCGCTGTATCCAACAGGTGCAGCAACCTTTTGAGTGTACTTCGGCTTTCGAACAACGCGATGTCCCCGCACATCGCCAGGGTTGGTGTCGATGTCTTCATCATTGTCAAGGAGCACTTGAGCATGAACAGCCGCTGCTCTTATCAGAGCACTTTGAACCTCCCTAGCAATTTTCTTGCGAGATGGGAACTTGATTGCATTCGGATGACCGTACCCGGCCTCTCTGCAGCGATTCACGACCCTGCCGGTGTTGTCACTTTCAATTGAAACAACAAACACGTCAGGGAGATCAGGGATCTTGACCCTCAGAGGTTCCCTATCGGGACCCTGCTGAAAGTACTTGCTTCTCCAGGACAGCACAACCTCCGCATCATCGCAGTACCAGAATGTCGTCTTGGTATTAGTTCGTTTTGGGAGCCTCTTGAACAAGGTCACTCGGCGATCACCGAAGTTCACCCCGACATCCTCGATCACGGTCCCGTTTGCGTCGACAGTCCCCCTCCAGATGACTTGGTCCCATTTTGGACCTCCACCCGTGGTACCGGAGAAGAACAACGCGTTGTGCTCATTTTTCTCCCAGCTGCTAACGCAAGGAGGGAGACAACCCGGTGCAGACCCACCGGTGGCTGGGGCAACAGCCCACATAACTGGACACGCCACAACAACACGGTTGGCCTCAGGATTACGGCCCGCCCCACCTAAAAATCCGTCAATCCTTGAGCGGGGCTGTCGAGACGCCTCGCCTCCCTATCGGGAGGACTGGGCGTAGGTGACCTAGGCAATGGGTAAGTTGGGGTAAACAAGCCACAAAAGAAAGGTTCCCCAAAAGCAAACCAATCCCCGGTCCCAAAGATCAGGGTTTCCCACACACCAGAGAACAACAAGCAAAGGAAACAAACCAAAAGAGAAAAGGGTTAACCCGCAACCTTGATCGACAACAGGCCGCACGACTGGTCCCTACCAACCTGGCGGCGGCCCGAGGTCTCTTTCTCCCCCGAGATGCCGTCGGTCGACGCAGGGGTTCGGCGACGCCCATTCGAGGCGCGACGGAACCCGTAAACTTGAGCCAAACATCACAGGTCAGTCACTACCGCGACATCCCTGATGATGAAATGAATCATGGCTAATCACACAATGTTAGGGGTTTGACCCCAACCTCAAAAACGGTCTGCATCTTTCTACAACGCCCTTGGGGGATTTCTTTTTGGGGCTCGCAATCACGTAGAAAACGTTCCGGGCGCCAGTCCGTCAGTCGTTTGCCGTGCGTCCGCGCGTGCGGGTCGAATCGGGACCCCGCCTGCTGCTCCCGCCAGCTCTTGGGAAAGCCTCTCACCAGGATGCAGTCGGTGGGAATGAAGCTGTCGGCCTGCGATCGGCTTTTCAAAACCCAACTCGGTGAGCGTTCCAGTGGTGACCTCAACCAATCCAACCACTAACATAGGTTCTAAAATGGGTGAATTCACCTACCAACCAAAATGGCACCATAGGTTCTAAAATGGGTGAATTCACCTACCAACCAAAATGGCACCATTGGTTCTAAAATGGGTGAATTCACCTACCAACCAAAATGGCACCATTGGTTCTAAAATGGGTGAATTCACCTACCAACCAAAATGGCACCATTGGTTCTAAAATGGGTGAATTCACCTACCAACCAAAATGGCACCATTGGTTCTAAAATGGGTGAATTCACCTACCAACCAAAATGGCACCATTGGTTCTAAAATGGGTGAATTCACCTACCAACCAAAATGGCACCATTGGTTCTAAAATGGGTGAATTCACCTACCAACCAAAATGGCACCATTGGTTCTAAAATGGGTGAATTCACCTACCAACCAAAATGGCACCATTGGTTCTAAAATGGGTGAATTCACCTACCAACCAAAATGGCAGCATAGGTTCTAAAATGGGTGAATTCACCTACCAACCAAAATGGCACCATAGGTTCTAAAATGGGTGAATTCACCTAGCCCAAAATGGCACCATTGCACGGCCATTTGATCCCATCGGCTTGGCTTGAGCTAAGGGCTCGAATCCTATCCGGTCGGTTTGGTTTGGTTTGGGTGGAGACAAGGGGAAAAAGAAAAAGGAGACCCGTTGCTGGGGCTGTCCGTTTTCGGATCCCCTGCAAAACATGTCTAGCATTTTGTGGGCTAAATGGAAACTACCACTATACCCCAAAAACCTAAGGGCCTAAGGGGGTGGCTATGAGTCCCCAAAAAAAACCATGTTCGGGTCCAAATCCCGAACAGGTTGACACATACCCATTCCCTCCAGCAAGATGAAACAGCCCCAGAGCATCCCGTCAAAACATGTTCAGTGCTGAGATTCTGCTGTAGGCATGGATCTCAACTTCCCAGTGGCGAGCCAAGCTGAAGGATTGTCGGTCAGAAGAGGACCGGGTCAGGCGAACATAGGCGGTGAAAGGCGAGTAAAACCAAAGGGACATGGTCAAACATATCGCGTGCATCATGTTCATTACTTTCAGCATTTTGTAGGGCATCTGACCCCAGTGCAAATAGCAGAACTTGTCTTCTTTCCCAGCTGGTGCATCGCTGTTGAAGTCCCACAGCAGCCCAGAGTGGTCAATACATGTGGCATAATAAAAGGTCAACCCTCCTTCCTCTGGGGGAGGCATGGTCCTCCACAAAGTGATGGTCATCATGGGGGCTGGGGGGAGGGAGGGGGGGAGGGAGCATGCCCTAGATAGGGCCTTATCAAGGGCTTAACTAGCGCTTACTTGGGCTCCCTCCCCCCCTTCCCTCCCGATGCAAAAGCTGGAAAAACTCGCCCGCGTTCACGGCTTGTAAGGCCAGTCAGTGCGTTGCAGAGGTGGTTCCCAAGTTGCAAACCAAGCCCCCACTGGTTAAAGTTGACCCAGGATTGATAAACCCGTCCCGTTCCCTCCAAAAGTGGTCTGAATCCCCACTAAAAGGGGATTCACCCCCCTATCAATCAACCAGGGTTTTTTATTAATCCGGGGTGAACATTACCTGCCAAGCGGCGCTGGGCGTGGTAAACGCCGAGGGGTTGGAGATTGCCTCCTGGGTGAGTTGCACTTGACATGCTACTGCTCTTGGGCTGCGCAAACGGAGCCAGCAATATCGATGGGAGCCCAGGGCATTTCGCCGTATGCGTGACATGATCCACCACATTGTCAAGATGCCGGAAACTCGTGTTGCTTCCTGAAGTGAGCTGCCGCAAGCCCAGCGACCTTGCCAAGCCGGCAAGCAGCCCGTTCAACTGTGAATGTTGCCTGGTGAAAGCATTGGCCTTTAGCGACCCCCCGCCCCAAGAAAAGGCCGAAGAGGGCTTTGGAGCAGCACAAGCTGGAGATGATCAACAAACTGGCCAGCTGCCTTTCGTTCCCATCAGTCCTCCAGCAGCTCAGACAACCGCGCCTTCAGCTTCTCCAGATTCCCCTGGCAAAGGGATGAGATGGGTGGGGCCGCTCTTGGCCCTGGTAGCGTTGGTATTGCCGAAGACTGAAACCATCTACCCTCCGCCCAACGATCATGGACGTGGATACGCCACCAAGACAAAAATTGTTCCTCTTGGGCGGCAGCCCTTTCCCCTTAGACGCCTTCAGCGATATCAGTCATGACGGACATGCGGCTTCGCAGATTGCCTTGTTTCGCTTTAAAGTACTTGTTTTAGTTCAACATAACCGGAAATTCGATCCACAGCGGAGGCCAACCAACATGAGGTTTGTAATTTGGTCCACTTTCTGTGAAGACACGTTGAACAGAGCCACGGGGAAAAAACGTTCTTCCTCCGGAATAATCATGGAAGTGGATAAGTGGATAGGGGGCTTCCCGAAGAAGGAAAGTAACCCTCCTGTCAGCGTCCATGATTCTTGGAGGGAGGGTGTGATGCAAAACGGCATCTCGCCCTTCGTGAAGGCTCTCAGCCTTTCTTGTCGCTCACAAAAACCACTATGAGCTTCTTCGCCAATACAATCTATTTCCCAAGGTGCCAAGCACACGGCACTAAGGATCTTCTCTCTTGTTGGCTCCAACAGGTTTGCACTGGACCAGGGCCAAGGAACCATGGCCTAGCCCCAAGCCGGATCCCTTTGCTTACGTCCCGTCAAAGACTTGGCCAACGAAACGCTCAGAGAGCTCTCACCCAAATCCAAAAAAGGCCCAGGAGTGCCGCGAACTCCCAAACCGCGTCACCCGGGAGAAACGCGCGCCTCTGGGGCCACAAAGGTGTGAAGCCACGCAAAAAGTGACCGGGCCAACGCTCCAACCGATGCCCAAAGCCCGAACAAAAAGGTGGTCTCCTTCTGCAAAAGTCGACTCATGCTGAAGGCAAGAATCGTGAAAAATACTGCCAGTGGGTTTCCAAAGCCATAGTGTTGGTATGCTGTTGATTTGCCAGGAGTTAGTTGTTGTGGACATGGGTTTGCTTGGCTTGCGCTGTTCGCTGTCCTAAACGAGTCTTGGGATCAAGTGATTTCTCAGGAATATGGCAGTTCGTGTTTGGTCCAGGGAAGCCGTTCTAGAAGAGCACCACTTTGCGCATGAAGCTCCATAACCTCACCGGATCAGCTACCCGGCGGAACCAAATCTAGTCGAAAGTGGCAGCGTTTGGCGCTTTGCCTTGGGCACATCGCCCCCCCCTCCTCCCCCCCCAAACAAAAAGAGGAACAGAAAAAGACATGTACAAAATTATAATAGAATAGTTTTTTTTTTTAATGAAGAATACAACATGAGAAAAAACAAATACATATAATAAAAACCGAGCCTCCATCCTCCCCCCCCTCCCTCGCTGCCGCCCCAAGCCGCCGCCTCCCCAAAGAGCGCGAAGCCCAGCGGCCCCGCCGCCGGCAGCGCCCAGGCGCCCAGAGCTCGGAGCCCGCCCCCGGCCACCTGCAGCCTCCACAGACGGCTCCGAACCCAAAAAACGCCCAGGGAGTGGAGCAGTTCGGTTCGGTGAAAAAAAGAAAGGGATTCGAGTGGAGCATTTCAGTTGAGAAGGATTCCGAATTTCTGGTGGGCTTAGATCCCCCAAAAAAACGCGTGGAGCCGGTTCGGGTGACCTTGGAGCATTTCTGTTGGGGCTGATTCCATGTCTGGTGGGCAGACAAACTTTCTTCGATCCCAAAAACGCGGAGCGGAGCCGGTTCTGTGGCATTTCCTGACGAGCTCTTTAATCAATCCACAAAAAAAAACCAGGTAGTGAAGCATTTCTAGGGCTGATTCCGAGCTTCTGGTGCGCTTCGATCCCAAAACCAACCCGTGTAAGCCAGTCCTGTGACCTTGGAGAAGCATTTCTGGTGACAATGATTCCGAATTTCCGGTGGGTCGGCGGGACCCAAACCAAAAAGGGGCTTAGACCCAACCCGCTGAACCTTTTCTCTATGCTCAGTTGGTCCAGTTCGGGACTGGGGACCGAGAGATATATTTCAGGAGATCAGGTTGCCATGACTAAACATGGAAGAGCCAAAAAGGGAGATCTTCCCAAACGGTCACATCAGGTCGATTCGCTTTGGGCAAGTGGTGAAAGGAAAGCCAGACGGCTGCCCCGAGCTTTTGAGTGACTGTTTTGGAAACCAAAGCTCCTGTCCCTTCAGCATGAGTCCTCCCTGGCTCCTGCTAGAAACTCTTTAGGTCTCATGATTTGTTCACCTCGGCTCCCTGGCTCCAGAATCCATAGCCAAGAACTAGATGGGGAGGCGCTCAGGGTGCAACCAAGGCGGATCTGGACTCAAAAGCAAGCCAAAGTCAGGGCAGCACAAAGTTAAAGCCCCATGAGGTCCAAAAAGGGACAAAATAAATTGAGCACCATGGAACCGAATCCTGAAAGGCCACCAACCCTTTGCTCTGTTTTTTCAACATGGGGAGGGGGGGGGGGGGGGCAAATGAATCCCTCTGATCCTCCATACCGGAAATTGGGACAAGGCGAAGCATCCGGCAGAAGGATCGTCTGCGCCTTGCGAAGTCGCAGGCCATGGCGATGGGCTCCTCAGGCGGGATATATGAGACTCATGGTAAACCAGGGGTCTCATTCCACAGCGGTGCCTTCGGAAAGACCGCTTGGTTGTTTTATGTACTTATTTGTTTACTTATTTATCTATTTATTGATTTTGTTTGCTTTTATGTACTTCTGTATTTACTTTTTCATTTACCTATCTATGTACTTATTTATGTACTTGTTTATTTACTTATCTATTTACTTATTGATTTCGGGCAGGGGTTTGGGAGGGGGGGTTGGGGGGGGGGGGGGGAAGAATGAAATTTCTTCATAAGAGACTTATTTTGTTCAAACCCGCCGCAGTGAAAGGCTTCAATCATTTTCACGCACGGCCTTGTCGAACTTGGGTGGCCCACACGAAGACAACAAACAGGGTAAAGGGTGGCTCCATGACGCCATGGCTAACTGACTTTGAAAGACAGGCATATTCTTTGCAAGCCCACTGAGAATTATTCAAACCAACATGAGACAATCAAGAGCAATCATCTATCACGCACTGCACCTGCCATTGCAATTGCAGCCCGGCGCAAGCTCTGCTGGTGGCAACATCACTTGACACTCAAATAGGGTCAAAGGGCCGCACAAGACAACACAGTGCTACCGGCATTGTCAAAACGAGCGGACCACAAACATGGTGACTTTCCTTTTGGTGTCCCGTTGCATAACCAACCTGAATTGGAGCCTGCAATCAAGACACTCAATCCAATTAGCCAGGGACCAAAGTACTTGTTGAGCGAGTCCCCCTTGTCCCCTGCTAATGAACTGAACCATAGACTACCAGCAACTCTGACCGAACCTCGAATGAGCGCCCGAAGCCCAAGCGCGCTTTTGGTACCAAGATAGATATAAAGCTTTCTACAGGCCAAACACCCACACACCTTCTACCTGGTTCGACCTGGTTTCCATCAAGATGGAAAAATAAAGAACTTTCTACATGCCTTGAGAAGCACCTATGCCACTTACCTCCTACGCTTACAAAGCCTTCTGAAACCATCCCCAAGTAAAGGACCTTTATCATGGCTCGTTTCATTTCCGGATCGCTATAAAACCCTTTAGAAGACCCACCTCCACACGGCTATGGGTCAAAACCCCGTACTCCAGTGAACATCCCAATCCCCACTAAAATAGACTGAAATGGGTGGTGCACCTACCCCAAAATGGGATCCCATTGGTTTTAACCCGCCTCCGCACGAGTCGGCCACGAGTCGGCCACTCGACAAGTGCGCGGGGCCCCGGGGCCCCCGGCCGCGCGCGCTTGGAGCGCTTCCGCCAAGCCCGGGCGAGCGCAAAGCCTCCCGGTTGAAACTGGATGCAAGCACTCGGAGAACCTATGCTGCGGGGGGCTTTCAGACAAACCCATCTAGCATTCATTCCACTGGGGCTTCATTGCCCATTTGGGGGGGGGGGTGATCAATATTCCGCTTAGGGCCCCCAAATGAGCTTGGGCAACTTTTCCCATTTGGTGGGAACCATCATCTTGTTGTGTGGTGTGCCTTTTGGTCATCCGATGTAAAGGAGCTTTTGATCAACACCCATGTGTATATATGGCGATGGATTTCATCGAGAGTTGGAAGCTCTCAAGTTGGTGGATCACCCTAAATAATGTTTGCCGACAAGTTCCCCTGTGAAATTGGGTGGCTGTGGATGAATCTGGCCAGAGTCTTAAGGTTGCAAGATGATGTTGGAAAGCACTTCCGCTTTCAGGCAGCCTGCAAATTAATGCTGCAATATCTCGACCTGCCGAATCCTTGGCAAAAAAAAGCGGCTCTTCAAAAACAGGCACGTGACACACGTGTGGCAGTCGGGCATCGGGGGTTTTCCCCTCGGAACATCTCTAGCCGGACTTGTTGTGGTATCCACGGCGTGAGCAGCACCGGTGGCATTGCGCTACTCCATTCCATCGTTTAGGAGACACCCCCTCCTAGAAACCGTAAGAATCAACCCATTCGGGGGTTTTCCCCTCGGAACATCTCTAGCCGGACTTGTTGTGGTATCCACGGCGTGAGCAGTACCGGTGGCATTGCGCTACTCCATTCCATCGATCAGGAGACACCCCCTCCTAGAAACCGTAAGAATCAACCCATTCGGGGGTTTTCCCCTCGGAACATCTCTAGCCGGACTTGTTGTGGTATCCACGGCGTGAGCAGTACCGTGGCATTGCGCTACTCCATTCCATCGATCAGGAGACACCCCTCCTAGAAACCGTAAGAATCAACCCATTCGGGGGTTTTCCCCTCGGAACATCTCTAGCCGGACTTGTTGTGGTATCCACGGCGTCGTGAGCAGTACCGGTGGCATTGCGCTACTCCATTCCATCGATCCGGAGACACCCCCTGATAGAAACCGTGAGAATCAACCCATTCGGGGGTTTTCCCCTCGGAACATCTCTAGCCGGACTTGTTGTGGTATCCACGGCGTGAGCAGTACCGGTGGCATTGCGCTACTCCATTCCATCGATCAGGAGACACCCCCTCCTAGAAACCGTAAGAATCAACCCATTCGGGGGTTTTCCCATCGGAACATCTCTAGCCGGACTTGTTGTGGTATCCACGGCGTGAGCAGTACCGGCGGCATTGCGCTACCATCGATCAGGAGACACCTCCTCCTAGAAACCGGAAGAATCAACCCATTCGGGGGTTTTCCCCTCGGAACATCTCTAGCCGGACTTGTTGTGGTATCCACGGCGTGAGCAGTACCGGCGGCATTGCGCTACCATCGATCAGGAGACACCCCCTCCTAGAAACCGGAAGAATCAACCCATTAGAAATTGTTCCCCTCCAAAATTCACCACCCCCCCTTCATCAACCCCCAATGTTCCCCTCCAAAAAAATCAAAAAAAAACACCACAAACAGGGGACAGCTATAAACCAACCAGGGCTTCCTCACTCGAGCCATGACTCTCGCGGAAAGCTCGGCCTCTCGGAGAGCGACCAGCTTCCCTGCACCCCAGGGCCTGCCAGGCGAAGCCACCAAGGGGCTGCTTTTGGTCCGGCCCCCCCCCCGAAAAAGAACGGAAGATGTAGCTTTCCCTGGGTTTCCCTGGTAAAAAAAATACAAGAGGTAAAAAAAAGAACACAAAAGAAAGAAAACCAACTCCAACTCAAGTCTGAAAAAAACGAGAAACTCAGTGATAGAGTCCCTTTAAAACCAAGGAGGTTGCATATCGTCTTAAATGGAAGGAAACGGCCTGTCTTACGTTCAACCAATTAAAAACCTGGTGTTCCTGAACACTCTGGGAGAAAACGGAATTCAGTCCACACACCGCGTGCGGCCTCAGACCTTTGTCTGTGCAATATGATTGATTGATTAATTCATATGAATGCTGCACATATATTTATATACATATAGAGATGTATATGTATATATATATATATATTACTTATATATATACATATGTATATATATGGGGGTTGTCCTATATTCCTTTGCCCGCGATTGGGCCCTTGGGCCGCGCTTGCGCGGCACTTGCGCGTACTTGCGCGCGCACAGTGGCGCAGAAACTCGTTTTCGTTGACCTCGGTTTGCGAAGTTTTCGTGTGGATTGCGCGCAAGCTTTTCTAAGCAGTGTGTTTGTCGTTCACACAGCAACCCACAAAGACTTTTCCCGCTGAGGTCGCTCCCGGCAATTCAATGCCAGCAACATACCCTTGACCCAACAGAAAGAACAGCAGGCTCTGCCACACAGCTTGGACACAGCCTGAAAGAAAGAAAGTGCATGTTGCGGGTGCCTATCCATTGCTTGAACCGCGCCGCCAAGGACATCCGAGACAGCATGGCTAGATGTCTTGCTGGGGCTTCTCGTGCTTGCGCGCAACTTGCGCGCGGCTTGCGCGCGGCTTGCGCGGATTTTGTCGTGTCAATTGCTGATTGTTGAAGTCATGACCGCAGAAGCTTTGGCTTCGTTTGGCGTCTGACTGATTCGAGAGGCACAAGTACAGCAAGAAAATATCACCTCCTTTCCTGAAGCTAGGCAACATCAGTACATGAAACCCTTCAAAGCTGTAACCTTGCGCGTCCCTTGGGCCGCACTTGCGCGCTCCTTGCGCGCGCACAGCTTTTGACAACTTTTACTTCTCCCTGTTCGGCGATGATTAAAACCGAAGACTGGGGTTTTAGGACATTGATGTATGTATATATATATATATTATACCATGGATATATATATATATATATTATATATATATATATCCATGGTATAATATATATATATATATATATACATACATCAATTGTTGAACATCCGCATTTCCGATTTTCATTGATTGAAGAACCGTTCTCCGAGCGTCAAACCAAGCCGCAAATCGGAACAATTCGATTGCACAAAAGTCGAACGGCCATCATGGTTGGCGCATTGGATCTTCTTGGGTCTAAATTGTCTTGGTTGCTGCAATGACCCCTCTGCAAAAACTGAGTCTAACGTTTTGTGGGGTCCAATTCGGAAATCCCACCTGTTTCACCCAAAGAGTTAAAGAAAGATCCGTTACCAAATAGATACGTGATGTCGCTTGTCCTTTCCTTGCATGCGGCGTGATGCTCGTCCCCGACCGAGCCCTCCTCGCCTTCTTCGTCATCCTCTGTGACAGCTGCAAGCAAGCCCACCGCCTCATCGTGCTGAGTGAAGCGAACGTAGCCCTGCCAGCAGATTCAAGCATCACCCCATGCATGTTTCTGGACGGAGTGTCCAACCCTCTATGATCTGTGGGAGGACCAAGAAAAACATGTATTTGGGTATGAATTCAAAGTGGAGACCCCTTTGGTGGGCATGAAGTTTCGGCGAAATTTGAGTGTCCACCACTTTCGGGGGCCTCCAACTCTTGAAATTCCATCGACATGGCTAAGGTGGGCGTTATGCGTATCCCCTCTCCATCCCTCTCCCATGAAGATGTCACCAGGGAATTGGTCAAGAGGAACCTCCCTTTTTCAGGTGCCATGGCAAAGTGGGAGGGAGGGTCTCTGATGTCGACAACGCCGCGTCAGGCCGCCAGCTCAGTTGCACGGGTCGTCCAAAGGAGCGATTCAGCAGGTTGCTGCATCCGCTTGCTGCGGCGACCCATCTCTTCAAGGATACACACACATCGCCACAAGGCATCCATGAAGCCACCCGCTTCGCTTGCTAGCGCTGTCTCCATCCAGCCCAGGCCTCGTTTTACAGCAGCCCCGTTGTTTTTTAATGTCATCACCCCGCCTTGCCGGTGAGCTGCTTGCTGTCCGGGTCTTTCAAAAAGAAGGCCTGCTCTGGCTGTCCAAAGCCTGGCGGTGTGGGGGTGCGGGGATCGCCCCGATGCTGGGCATGTCTCAGAGAAAGACCTAGAGTGCCACTGGCCCGAGTATTGGTGTCCTTGTTGGAAAATAGATGGCCCTGGTAGATGATTGAACCACCAGGTAAACCAGGGCCCTCTATTTTTCAACCAAACCAACCAAAAAGGACACCTATGGGCCCGAGTATTGCGGCCAATAGTTGAGACCCAAATGAAGCAACCGCTCATCTCTTACCCTTGCAATCCCCTGTCCAAAGAACGTGGCATAAAACTTGTTGGGCCTGAGGACCCCTCAGGGTGGAAATATCCGTTCAAAAAGACAAACGTGGCGTTTCATGCGCCTCGCAGCCAGTCACGCAGCTGAGACTCGTCGTAGTCCTGGCCGACTCCCATGACCATGTTCACTCAACCGAGGATCTGTAGAAGAAAATAAGCTCAAGTGATATCCCCAACAGCCTGCGGTGCTCTCCCAAAACCCCGCAGCCCTCGCAGAACCTCGTGGAACCCTCGTGGAACCCTGGTGGAACCCTGGTGGAACCCTGGTCGAACCCTGGTGGAACCCTCGTGGAACCTTGCCTCCGGGCCGCCCCGGACCACCCCGGAGCCTATCTGGGCTGAGACCCAAAAGCTTTAAGCTGTTGGGAAAAAAAGACGTCCAATGAGTTGCCAATTACAAAGCAACCAACTCAAGAAACCAAGCTATGTAGGCCTTGCAAGTGGCTGCTCAAGTCTTTGCTGACCAACCCTGAGGCCCTATTTGCCATGTGGTTACCAAGCGTTGTATGGCACACACGGCTCAGACCGATGTTGCATCTGTTGGAATATGGCTACAGATTGGTTGTACAAGTGTGGAGCCACAAGCAACAAACACAAGCTCTTGAGGTACAAACACGCGGTCAATATCCCTGCACACAAATGCACCCATAAATCCACACACGTTTCACTCCCTTAGCCCCCCTCCGGCCAGCAAAAGCCCAGCCAAACGCTTGCCCCAGCGCTTTTTGGCGCCCTTTTTGCCGAAAGAGGCTCTTCTTCCAGCGATTGACCAATGCAAATTCCGCATTCTAACTTCCTGGATTCCGGATCGGTCGGTACTTGCCTCGCCGTCGAGCAACTCCCGAAAGGCTCACTGAGGCTGCGAAAGGCTTCGCGCTGCCGCTTTGTCCAGCTTCGGACTCCGTGATGGGCAACGCCGTGAGATCGATGCCAAACAATTGCGTGAGCCGACTTCGTGCAAGTGAGTCTGCACTTGAAGCCGCGCCAAGTCTTGGGCGCGAAAAGCTCTCCCTGCAGAAAGTTGCAAGGCGAGGGGCATGACCAATGACAGCCCAGTGCCCCAACGCGATCTCACCTGCTTCGATGACAGAAGCGAGGATGCGGAGCACATCTACCAGAGCTCCTCGCTCATTTACCGGAGATCATTCAGCCAAGCTCTGGACATTGCACACAGCTCGCCGAAGCCATTGCACGTCCAGCTTGGCAGACTTCACTCATATGCCACCTGGATTCTTTGCAGACAGGGTTCAGAGCAAACCAAAAGGCAAGACCCATTTGGAAGGTCTTGATTTGACACACTGCCATTCGAAAATTCTAACAAGGGTTCCCTTTGTCAGCCCTGAGATCGGGCGCGCCGCTCGAAAGCAGCAAGGACTGCTGCCTGGTTTTCGCTCACATCATCAATAAACACAGCACGCTGCTCCACCACATCCCTGGTGAATGTGGGGTTAACAAAGAGGGTTATAACCCAAGTGATGACACAATGTATGGAGCATTGGATAAAAACTAACTGAGCCTGCAAATCGTGCAACAAAAATGTAAACTTGTCGCCTCCAACACCACGGGCACGTGATCCGAGGGGAAGTGCTCAGACGGCAGCGCCGTGGCCGCGCGGAGCCGCGCCAACTCCGGCGCGGCGAAGGTGCGGGCCACGCGAAAGCGGCGGTCGACGAGCGTGTAGTCCAGGCACTCCTCCCGGATTTCGTCCGTTAAAAGAAGAAAAAAGACATGTCGTGGTGATGGGCTTGGAGAAGTGGCGTCACTGGAATTGGGGAGTTTGTTTTTTCCAAAAAGGAAGTTCGGAGCCCTGAAATGGGTGGTAAAGTCATGATTTGGATTGGTTTGGAAGTTGGGGCTTCTCCGTTTAAGGGGGTCAAATCCCCAAACCACTATCCAAACCACCAATTGCAGGCGACCTGAGGGTGGAGACGGTGAGAGGGTAAAAAACAAACTGAAAGGGGGTGATGCCGCCGCCACGTCAAAGCCGAAACTCATGCTTCGAGTGGTGGCACGCACAAATATGTGCTTGAACATGACATTGGTGATGCATTGCAGGGGCACACTGTTGAAGAGGGGTCGTCGCGCAAGCGCTCGTCTGTCAGTGGCCGACACCAAGAAAACCGCACAGTGTCATATCTAGGTCCTCCAGTGGAGAGGTTACAATCCGCCGACCCTCTGCCTCCCGTCCCAGCCTCCTGCAGAGGGGACCGGCGTGGGATGCAACTGGAAGTGATTGGAATACGCCCGAACGCACGAAAAGTGGATTTCTAGGACCGGTCCCGGGACCGGTCCCGGGACCGGTCCTGGGACCGGTCCTGGGACTGGTCCTGGGACCCTGGTTCTGCCCTTTCAGATTACTTGTAGTCAGCCAAGACCGGTCCTGGGACCGGTCCTGGGACTGGTCCCGGCCAGGACCGCTTTCAGGACTGAAGCCGGTCCCGGGATGGAGTCCTGCCGCCTCAAACCGCTCCAGACGCCTTTCCACACCTGGCACCCGTGTTTCAGAACACTGCGCCAGACTGGGACCCGCCTGTCCCGGTCCCTGCCGGCGACCGGTCCAGGGCAACTTCGGGAGGGCCAGTTTCAGGGCGCTCCCGGGCCAACTCGAAGTGACTTGGGCGCAAGCCGGCCCAAGCGGTAATTTAACGGACTAGCTGCCATATTTCTGACTTTTCCGTTAATCCTTGTTTGTGGTCGTAGAGGATCTTATAAGTGGTCCCTGACCGGTCCTTGTGACTGTTCCCTTAATGCGCCGAGGGTCGGCGGCAGCAGGCGGGAGCCTGGTTAATAAGGGTACCCACTTTTTCTCTGTAGTCTATTTCAGTGGGACCTCCCCACAAAAGGGTAAAAGGGCACTGCTGAAAAAAACCTAGTCATACACCTCCCCTGAAGGCTCAGGCTTATCAGTTCAATGAGCCATACGTCAGAGCCGAAAAGGCAGTCTCGCATGGTCTCCCTCTGCGCTCCTGAAAATCCGCCGTGAAATTGGTGACCTCGATGTGGTCATTCCTTAGTGGCAGCTTTTCCCTGCAATGACCCCGGGCTGAAGAACAAAAAATGTGCAGAGTACCAGTTGGCGTATGGTTGCAAGCCCAAAGTAAATCACACGTTGCAGGGGATCAACAGTCACCCACTCACACAAAGTATGCTCATAGTGCCGGCTTTCCTTTGCACAACACACGATTTCAAGCCCCTTATTATCGACCGCCTATGCAGCAGGTCACCCTCTCACCCTCGCGCTTGAGGAGATTGGTAAAACTTCGTAATTAGCTTTGCCACTTTTTGGCAAGCCACACTCAAAACCTCGAGCAAGAGTGGTGTTTTGACCGCTTTGTTTAATTTACCACGAAAAGATGGGCCCAGTTCAGGATTGGAAGCAAGTAAACTCACGGGGCCTGGCAAGGGGAGGGGGAGGGAGCCTCAATTTGCCCCGAGAAGGGCTTAAGAGCTACCCTCCCACCCTTTTCAAAGCGGGAACCTGACGTTCGGGACCCAGCCCCTTTACAAGGAACATGGTCCAAACGGTTTGGACCCCCAATCAAAGTCAGGTTCCGGCTGTTAAGTGGTGGAAGGGTAACTCAAAAAGCCACACACCAAGACTCGCTTCCCGGATTAGCCCGAAGAAGTCGCCAAACTCCTTTTTTGGCACTAAAACGGTCCAAGCCCAAAAAGTGGCTAAAGGCATCCATTTGCTTAAGTCCATTTGAAAAAGTTAAAAAAAAAAAGGAAGAACAAAAAAGGAGAAAAAAACAGGCCAAGTAACATGGCCTTTTTTTCCGCCTGTTACTCGGCACCAAAGGGTTCCGGCTTGACTTCACCGAGCTGCGGATCGACCAAGGGCCATGGAAGCTCAAGGTCCAGCTCTAAGGCCTGCACCTTCGAGCGGACTTTGGGATCTCTCGGATTTCTTTTGCTCGGCATTTTGCGCAACACAAGAGACAAGAATTGCCGCCTGATGTTGAAACTTTGCCCGTATGTATCAAAATGGCAAATGGCGACCCTTAACAGGAAGGTAAGTATGCTAAGTGCCAATTCAGGGCTTGGACATCTTGGACCACTGTCTGGTTTCAGAAACCACCACATGTTGATTCCAAAAACATTACCCACCAAAAGGAAACTCACCACTAAGACCTTTAAGGAAAAACATGGCAAACATCCTGCGGTCAGTACCGAATTCCCTTTCTATTCTTAGATTCTTCGAAGGCATGAAATTCGACACGTTGGCAATCTAGTTGCGAAGTCCTGGCTTGATACGCGGCCAAGATGTTCGTTGTTTACACCGAAAATGGATTTCGGCCTGCAACAAGCACACGTCGCTTTGACATCAACTGTGATGAAGCCGACATGCACCAACCAAACCGTAGTAAACCACACATCAGCGCCCAGATGTTGGATTCAGACAAGGGTCGGAGCTAGCTCTCGCAGCACCCCTTCAAAAGCTACCGGAAGCAGCACGCATCCGCGTGTCTATAAGTGTGTATTCGGGCGGGCGCGGAAGAATCAATCAACCGAACAACCTCGACGGTTGGCCCCTGCTTGACCATAGCAAAGCTCTAGACAACTGAACACCCGAAAAGTCGATGCGCTGCCTTTGCAGTGCTGAGATTCATTGGCTGCCAGCCTCTCAAATGGAGCTTGTTCAGGTTCAGAAACCAAGGATCACCAATTCCTACTATGTGTGGCAAACAACTTCTTTTTTTGATCACCTCTTGCAAACACTGTCTGCTGGTTTATGTTTATCGCATGGTCTCCTTTCCACGGTTGAGTGAATGGGCAAGTGTGTTTTTTCACAGGTGGTGTTGCGTTGACAAAAACTCTGTGCATGGTGTAATAGTTCCTTTCGTGATCAAAGGGATCTTGGAGCCGTGCTCAGGATCATTCTTGACAGTCCTGACGACGGTCCCTTTCACCAGTTCATGGCGAACGGCAGCGACATACTTCAGCCGTCAGAAGTTTCCGTTCCCTTGCCTGTTGGCTTGCGGGGTCCTTCATACAAGCCCTGTCCAAAAGACTTGGAAGTAAAAAGGTCGTGCGGATGTACGAAGTTCTGCACCAGTTGGGATTCATGAAACCTTGCAAACGGGATGAATCAACTACCCATC